TTCCAAAATATATTATACTTTAAAAAAATTAAGTATTTAAATTGTGGAAACAATATATCCAATAGTTGATGTATATTTCATTTGAGTAGGAAAATACGATCAATATTTGGTTTTGTATTATTTTTAGCAGCAATTGTTTCTAATACCTAGGGGAAAAAACCATACTAAAACAAGGATATTCAAAACGGTATCTACTTTAACTTATACCATAAGTTAAAATTATACAGTAGTTCATTTTTTTCATCACAGCATTCTAACCACACATTTTCTCTGCATCCTAGTTGCAAGCAATAATGTCCTTGCCTTCTTGTGTTCTTAGCAAAGCTATTATTCTTACTCCACACAATGTGAAGTACTCAGTACTTTCAGTTTACAGGTCCATGGATTAATTCTGACCTGTTATTAACACCGATTGTTTCTACCACTACTACGTATAAGCAGTAATTCTGGACTGAGGTTCTCACGCATCCATCCTGCTCTTGAAACACTTGTTTTTCTTGATCAGCAAATATGAAAGGTTTCCATTTACTTGATCCTCACTTAATCATGAAACTTGCACTTTCCCTGTTTTGCCCTAGTGAGAAACTGCTTTTCATGGCACTGCTCTCTCCTTGGTGTCTCTTCAATATTGCCAATGTCATGACAGCTCTGATTGCATGCCCTTATCCCCCCCATCAAATTTGTTACTTGTTTTTCATGTGGTGATGATGCTACCTAGGCCACCATGAGAAAAGGTGTTTGGGTTTTTTTTTTAAACAGTTCATTAGCTCAAATGAATTAGTGAAATGATTTCTTTCTTGATTTCCTAACTTTTAACTTGATGAAAGGGATTTTCCACCATATACTTGACTTATCACTAACTTCAACACAACATTCCATATTAATAAAATACTCCCTTTCACCCCTTTCTCCAAAGTTGTTTCCTAGAAAAGAAAGCCAAACTTCTCCAATAGTAAACACATAATATTTTACAAATAATTCACTAGAGACTATAAGAGCTAAACAATCATTTGTGTGTTTCAGGAAATAATACTAACATTGTAAATAACGTTTTATCTTATCCAAAAGTAAGCAAGATGATTTATGAAGCAAATAAAGAGAGATAGCTCCAAACCAAAAGGGCTTAAGCTGGAGGCTAAGCAAAGGAGAATAAGGAAAATATACACTCAGATCATGCTGAAATTCAATGAAAATGGTTATGTTCTCCACTTTAAAACCTCTTCACAAATGGATCACAAAAATAGTAAATGACAGAAGACAGAGTATCTCTACTTATGGAGAAGCCAAAGGTAATATTCAGGCCAAAGGCTGCACTTACAAGAATCCCAGATCAGTGTGCCAAAAGAAGGCCTTATGGTGGGGTTCAGTTGCCTGCAGGTGCTGAAGGTCATTTGAGATGCCATAAAGTATGCAAGAAATGTATATGAGTTCAGCAGATAGGACACAGGGACTTATAGGAAGTAAGTATCACTCTGTAGTGGAAGTTGGGGGCATGCAGGATATCCTGCAGCACTAAAAATGACACTAGATGCCTAGATTTAGGCAAATTAATAATGTCTTTAATGTCTAATATCATGATTGGGACCTCAAAAAAAAAAAAAAAGATGCAAAAAATACAGTTCCCATTGGCCCAGTGAGCTGAATTCAGTAACCAATCAGTAAGCTAAGGGAAGGCTTATAAGACATCATTCCTTCAAAAGGCTCTTCTGCTTTTTGGTGGGGGGTGGAGAGGACAGGGGACACATTACCCATGGCATTCAATATAGCTTAATCATCTTTTCACAGTGTATGAATCTTACTGCATCTGTGTACGTTCTGTGCAGGATGAATGTCCTTAAAACAACATAATAAAAGGCAATCTTGTCTCTGCTATTTTCATATAATGAAGAACAGCTGTTCACCAGTCACTGTGTTTATTGTCCTCTTCCATCCTGTCTTCCACAATGCTCTCAGCCCTACCACCCTCTCAGGTGATACCTATTATAGTGGTTCTATCTTGGTTCCAGAAAATTTATAATCCCAATGTAAGAAAAGAAACAACAGTTACAAATAACAAATAACTGCATATAGGTAACAGTGAACCGATATAGAAGAATGCAAGAGGATGGCATACCGGTTACCTTACTATAGTTCAGATTTTGTCAGGCATTGTGGCAACATTCCTACCTTTTAAGGAAGGATTTAAGGAGGTATAATATATTAATTAGGATAATTGATTATTTGTAGTTTTGCTAGCTGTCTTCTACAAAATGGAGTTCTCCCCAGAAAAACTGACATGAGCTCTACAGCATTACAACATGTTAGTTATATCATAGGAGCATTAATACGCAAAAGATGAGGATCGGAACACATAAATTCCTAAATATCTGATTATCTATCTCACACATTTCATATATTTTTGTGGCTATTATATCACTGCAGGTTATACTTAAGAAGCCAAACAAAGATATATATGCTATTGCCTTTTAATGTAGAATAGATATACACATTCCAATTAAATAGTTTTTTCTGACCTGGACACCTTTTGATGACTACCATACACTCTGTAGTTTACAAGTGCATTTTATTCAAGGGAATGTATGTAACTGCATAAACACTCAATCATAAAGTAGTAATCATACAGTACTTTATTCTAAATGGTTTATAAAGTAAAAGCTATTATATTTAACAAGGGAGAAATGAACAAATCTCCATTAGTTAACAGACTGCTATACTGACTAGAACATTATCACCAGAATAGAAGCTATATTTTAGGAAAGTAGTGATCCCCAGAACAATATGTCCTGAGGAATGTTTAATTTTCTAGAAAAAAATGGAATTACTTGTTAGTGAGGAAAAACACTGCACTAACAGTAAGTCTAAAAATTACTCTGGAAAAAATCTCTCTGGAATCTATTCTGTTTTCCTGCCTTTTCACAATACCACTTTAAAACAAGAACTAAAAGAAAGAAGTGAAATGCATCAGAAACTTAAGGTGGAATGAGGATATGCGTTCAGAATGGCTCCATGGAAAGAAACAGGATTAGCAGTTGTGTAGAGACACCACAATTCTCTGGCTACCCTGAGAGCCAAAAAGTTGCATCTTCTACTGCATGCTGCTCTCATGACCAAGAGAGGCCTGGTGAAACCTGGGAGAAAGAAAGCAGTGAGGAGTGAAATGAGGGTTTGAAGCTTAGGCAGTGGGGAAGTGATGAATGAGTGGATTCCTTCTGTTATTTAGGAAGAAAAAGGCAGAAGTATGTGCACCCATCTGTAGTACTGTAAAAGTCAAAAATAAAGAATATCAGAGCTTTGATAATTTGTCTTCCCATATTCTTCTATTAGGCTGGTGAAATAAGTGATACGTGTGCTACGAGTTGCAGCAGGCTACATCAAGCTATGTATAGAATGGTGCCACTATTCAATGACCTCTGAAATGCAGAGGGAAGAGTAAAAGAGACCAGAATATTAAAATACAGTACCTGCAGTACAAATGTGTATTAGAATACTTGAAATATTGGTATTACCTGAACTAAATGAACTTACCTCAATGTCCCCGTGATTCTGCCATTATGCTACATTAGAAGAAATCCCTTCCAAAGATGAATCAGCTTAGCTAACCGTACACCGTTTAAAACTGCACAGAGTAGAGTATTAGCCATTCATAGAGGATACAAATAACTAAATGTGTCCTTTCTGCCTGGCAAGCACCATATAGTTCAAGGTGGATCTGAAAACTGAGAATGGACTTGGGCCAACATGATCTCAATTGTTATTTTCAATAATAAAGTACAGCTAGCACCTCAGCATATAACTCTCACTTGAGTGGAAGGGGACAGGGACAAAATACAATGTTCTGAAAGCTTTTATGGAAATCATGCACTGTTTGTGACCTGTATTTTGTCTCTGGAGCTGCAGTCTTGTTTAATCCTCTACTTTTAAATGCCATCTTTCAAAACCAAAGGGTAACAAGTACAAATTGTGTCTATAAAACAGCATCACAACTTTATTCTCAATAGCTAAGTATTGAAATGCAAGCATACATTATAAATAGAAAAACAGCTGGCTTGGAGCACATTGCAAGCCACTAACACAGTTGAGGGATTTGAATGACATCATAACCCGTGAGAGCATGTTGCTGGCCAGCTGGTGTTATTTATAATATACTCATAATTGAGGAAAAATAAAAAGGCAAAAGTTAGGTATTGCAGAACTAACAAAGTTGAATTCTCTCTTTCCCAGTGTCATTTAAATTGTTATCAAGAGTAATTATGAAGATTACTACTGAAAAGGGGGGAAATAATTTTATAATTACAACAGCACGTTTAAGACAAATGTAATGGAAGCCCCCCAAACTGGGCTACTTGTGTTACTATATTCATAGTACTGCAAATTCTAGGAAATGATATGACTTCTCCTGGGTGGTTGCTAAAAGATCACAAAGCTATTTTGCCCTATTTACAAGTAGTGCTCAACAATTCTGTTATTTTTAGCAAATTACAAACTGCTATTTTAGGGTTAATAGCACAGAGAGTTGGAGGTTTTAATTGTTACTCAGCATATAGGCATGCCAAGTTTAATAACATAAAGATGCATTAAGAAAAAAGTAGATAACCGACTGCCTGTCTTTCTATACTATATAAATAAAATACCTGTGTCTCTATGCATAAATAAAATGTATACATATATACGAAGGTATGCATATATACAAACAATGCCCTTGCATATATAAGTTTTTATATATTTGAAATGCAGACACACACACACATAAATACAACTGCACACATAGCTATCTGAAAGTTAACAGAATACATTTTCTTATTTTTCATGGCAGCACAAGCTTTTTTGTCTGCTAGCCCCTCAGTCACTAATTCACATTCTTTTAAAGGGAAAAAAATATGCTTCTGTGCTCTAGTTTTAAAATGCAAAGGTATGATGTTATTTGTCACCATGCCCAAAAAAGTCCTTACTCGGTAACTTTGCCAGAAGAGGGAGAGAGAGAGAAGGCAAATGCTCCCCCAGCTGTTTCCTGTCTACAGTGTCTGTGTAATGTAGATAAATGTGAGGATTTTCTCTAAATCCCTCTTCTGTTTGCTAAATCTCACTGTCACTGCTAAAATCAGAGCAGATAGAGCCTGCGCAATGGAATAAAGTCCTCAATATTGAAATGTGACATTGCTCTCAACATCTCACATCTCTCTGGATTTCTTTTTTCTCATCATTACTGCTAACAAATTTATTTCCAGACTTTGCACTTTTAAGAAGCAATGGAAAAAATCAACAGTCTTTCAACACAATTAGTTAAGTGCTGCTTTTGTGATTTCTTGAAGGTAAATCTTTATTACTATTTCAAATAATTTTTTAGTTTTATTTTACTGTGTATTGTCTGCTTCTGGTTTGAAGAGTACTGTACACTTTTCAATAACATTATTTTAGAACTGAGAATTATTTATAAATTGCTGAACATGCAATTTTATATGATCTGGAAAATGGCTGTATGTAATAGTTGCAATTACATAGATAACTGTAAGGGTAAACTATTGCAGATACATGTCTTAATTTTCACTTCTATTCAGAGAACTTTGCAATATTTCAGTTATGTCATTATTAAAGGGACCAATTACATCATTGTCTATATTGTTAATTAATGCTTCTGAAAACAAGAACTTTTAGCTATTTTCTGCAGGTGCAGGGTTTTATAGGAAAAAAGGTATTATTCACATGTTAAGTTTCTGGAGTTTTATTATACACAATTATAGAGAAAATGTTCATGCTTTCACAGGGAAACTTTTAAGGGATGTTGTCACTGCAGCAATTTTCTGGCAGCATTGTAGCATTTACTTGTTTTTTCCTTTCATAAATTAAAAGTAAATGTGAAGTCCAATTTGTTTTCTACATTAGAAACCAGCTGTGACTCTTGCTGACCTTGCATATTTGTATAGCTTAAGCAATTGTACGTAAAGAAAATGGAAATTCCCCTACATGTTCATCTCCAAGTTTCCCCTTGGAGGGAGGGCTGTTGCAGGAAAGTTTGCATGTGAAGTTTCATGTTATGACCCTATAATTTCTACACATTAATATAAACTGTCTTTAAGTAAATTTGGCTTCAGTAGGTGCATTGACCTCTGTTTCTGTCAATTGGCCCTAGTTCAACTTTCCATTATCAGCAAATTTATATCCTTCAAGAACTTTTTTCTTTAATATTTTGCAAGGACACTTATGCAGTTGGCAGAATTCTCCTGTTTTAATTGTTTAGGGCCTAATTATTTTTTTAGAGTGTCTTACACTTAAAACACACTTATCTCACTCCTTAATGTGATTCAAAAAAGCAGGTCTGTAATTGCAATGGATGAAACCATTCTCTTAATGTATAAATGGGCATCCCTTCCAATACACTTCAAAAATGAAGATCTTTTTTTTCAAGTATTGAGCAAGGCACTAAGAGACATAAAAGTAATGTGCTAGTTCCTCAGCTGGTGCATCCTGCCAAGCTTCCTTGGAATCAATGGAACATATTGATTTAGGTTAGGATGTAGCCCAGATTCTTTAATCAAAGTTAGCAATATTTAAACCTTGATCCATTCTAGAGTATATATGCTTTATTTATATAATAATTACTAGTGAATACTGTTACTACATACTAATTACATACTTGCTACTGTGGCTTGGTAATCAGGCTCAACCTCTATATAGCAAAATGTAATTTTGAATATAACTCTTGATTTTTTTTCTATAGCGTATACTATCCATAAAAATGTTGCCCCCTTCAACATATGTGTAATTATTGTAGATGTCCTTATATGTTATTAAAATGACAAAGCATGTGAAGACTTCTTATGCACAACTTGTGCCAACTGATAGTTTATTAGACTAAGAGGACTTATAGGGAAGAATTAAGAAGTAAAAGAGATGTAAAGTGTTCATATATGACATTCCTCTGTGGTGCCACTCTTCTGGACTATTAAAAGAGGAATGCAGCAAAAGCTGCATTTTACTGAAAAAAGAGGAAATTCCAGCTGTGAAAATATGGCCAGTCATTCTATGCAACTAAAAGAAGTGCTTAACCAGGCTCATCCTGAACCTGTATTCAATTTCCAAATGTAATTAGATGCTTCAATAAACCCCACCCACGTGCTAATGCGTTTTCTTTCAAACTCTCAACTTTCTAGTCAAACTGGGGACATTGCAAGTACCCTGCCTGTTTGTAAAGAACCTGAAGCAATATTGGATTACAACTTTGTATTTTCTTAAGAATATTCCCCTCAGACATAAATGGGAACTTTGATTTTATCAGAAACATATTGAATCAACTAATGTTATGTTTAATTAAAATGATGAAGTAAAGCTAAAGTTTTAAACTATGTTTTGGAATTAGTTTTGATGAAACAGCATTTTATTTAACAAATAATTGATTGAGCCCTAGAAACATGTGAGTCTGTTTTCTTTCCCCCAATGTTTTTACTTGTTTGAAAGTTCTTGACTTTTTTTAAATTTGGAGATAAAGTTAGAAATTCTCTGTGGTTTATACTGTGCAGCCTTTTTGGCTTCCACTAAAGGAAAAACAGTAGATGATAATCTGTTTTGTTGTAGTTCAGTACTGATATTTATCTGAAAATGCAACCCAGCTGAAAAGTTTTGAAAAATACAAAATTGTTAAATGTCTAAGATTTGTGTTTATTTCTGGCCTAAATGTTATACAAGAACAAACTGTTAAATACATAATGTTCTTGTATTTGTAAAATCTTTCAGCCTTCTGACACGGTGTGCTAAACAGCTTTCTACTTTACCTCCTCAGAACCAGGAACCATCTTAAACTGCAGGTGCATCACATTTATCTTAGAAATTCAAAAATATGGCAAGGGAAAAAAGAAATTGATGTTGTTAAGATATGGAATCATTACAGGAAATAATGCCTCATGTTATCATCATTCATTTATAATCTCATCTTCCTCCATCTGCCATTGAAGTCATGTCCATGCATTAAAGCTTGTTGGTTTTTGCATGGCAAAGTTGGCTAAAGACTCTTGTGAATGGAAAAATAATTATTCTTTCTTTTTATGATATATCATGGGATTAAGATTGGTGCATTATTTTCACAGTGGAAATATCAGGAAAAAAACAGGGATAAATTCTGACTTATTTATAGATTTGTCTCTTATTCAGCTTTGACTTAAGTTGAAATACGGGATTCATCCAACAAGGTGCTAAGATGCCTTGCCAAGAAAATAAGAATTCTTAAAAATTATTGACTAGAGAAGGCTCAATACCCCACTGGATCAGATCTCATATGAGCAGACAATAGATAATTTAATTGTTTTTTCAAAAGTTCAGTGAAAAAATAAGAATAAATAGTCCCTGAAACCCTGAAAGAAACTTTAGGGAAGATTAATCATTTTACTCCAATTACTTTGCACTAGTCTGTTAATACAAAGCAGTTTTAAGCCAAGGTTAACTGTATGTGCAAGACAGATTTGTAACTTCTTACCTGACTGCAATACTAATATTAACCTTGAAAAAGAATGAAATTAAATGCAGATTTACAGCTTTTGAAACTAACATTTTTGGCACGTGATCTAAATCAGCTCAGAATATACATTAAGCACATTCTTCACTGTCCTGCTACTAAATAGAAATAGCTTTTCCTATTATTTAAAATAAATAATGCTATCTTCTTTGACATGTTGGGTAAGATCTTTGGTTGATATAAATTGATATAAAAGGAAGTGGATAAATGGAATGGTACAAATTTACACCCATTGAGGATTGGCCTTTCTTCAGTCATAAGTCCAGGAAAAAGATAGTTTGTAACCAAATGTAAATGAGAAAAGAATTATCACCTCTGTGTATACCTCGTAGCCAAACCTGACTAAGAGGATATAATGGAGGTCAGTGAAAGTATAGCTGCTTCCATCAAGTAAAAATACAAATCCTTAACACTCCCACTAGTGCTCCTTTTAATTTCTTGAATGCTTCCAAATGTTAACTTGCTAGTAACAGAGGCCTGTAAGAGTCATTGAATGCAGTCCCCTACCATGGAAGGTCCCACATCAACTCTACTGTAACTTCGGCAACTTCTACCTTGAAAATTCTTTTGTTTTGTCCTGATATTTCCCTTTTTAAGGTGGCTGGAGACCCTTGGAGTAATTATGAACCCTTTTCCTACTGGGCCAAATTTCCTTCCCTCCAGCTTACAGCCATTTATTCCTGTGCCAGTGCTGTTCTTTAGTTTAAATAGCTCTTCTCTGTCATATGCCACCTCCACCTCCCACAGTACATTGACAGGCAACTGTCATATCCCTCTTAGCCTATCTGGTCTCCGACAAAACAATTCAAGGTTGTCTAGTCTTCCTTACTTTTATTATTCTGGGCTTCCCTTTGCCTGTCTATTGCACTCTTCCATATCCTCCTTTTGCAGGAGCAACCATAAATCATAGTTACTACAAGGTTCTCTAACTACGTGTGAATGTGAACCAAGAATATCCACCAGAGGAAGTAATCGGTTTATATGGACTAGAATATGTAGACAGTGGCAAAATTATGGTGAGGCATTTCCTGATACTGTGTTTATTGTCTAACAAATTACAGTAAATATGCATTCTCAACTCACAAAGGTGCAAGAGTCATTTTCTTTAGGACTCTTGGGAAATTCTGACACTGCTTTTTCTTCCTTGGCAGGTGAAGATGCACACTGTGTCCTACATTCATTTCTTCTACCTTGGCCTGTGTTTGCTTACCTTAACCAGTTCTGCTGCTGCTGGCCCAGAAACACTCTGTGGTGCTGAGCTGGTTGATGCTCTTCAGTTTGTGTGTGGAGACAGAGGCTTTTACTTCAGTAAGTCAACCCTTTCTTTCATTCAGCTGCTAAACTTTTCCGTGTAACGTCTTGGAGTTTGCAACTGCTCTAAGCAAGCTTAGAAATGATCAAACCAGGCTGCTGAGTATGACTAGTATCCTCTATCTTGGAGATGCCCAAGTCTGCAGTGACCATGAAGAATAAAGCTGTGCTTGTGTTCAGCCTCTGAGTTTCTGACAAATTTTCCTTTTCAGACATGTTATTGTTTTTAACCATTTTCCAGCTGCTGTTATTCCACCTGCTGTATTACTGCTTTCTGCTGACCTGCCACTGAAATTAAATGAATGAAAGCACATACTAGACCCAAGATATTAATGAGGCAGTACTGCATGTACCTGTTATGGCAGTCTACTCATAAACTGTTTAAGTACACGTTGTATCATATTAAAAACACACTAAGCTTCAACATCTGGTTTGAAAAAAAGAAAAGCTGGAAGGCAGCAAGCAGAAAGTTACCAATCCAAGTATCCGCATGCTTCGTCAGTTAAATACAGGTGAAGGAATATTTATGCATGGTGAGATAATGAAGATTAACAACAGTACAGACAACAGATAAAATTAAGTCTGCAATAGTGTGGATATATTAGTACTCAAATAACTTTTTGGAGCAAGACCTCCACTTTGGAACTGAACATCACAATATTTTTCCTTTGCTGTGTTTTAGATTGTGCAAGCTGGAGTAGCTGTCTCTTATCTTAGTACCTTCCTACAAGTGCCGTCAAGATCAAGAAATACACAACTTGCAAATAATAGAAATCTATATCTAATTTTCAGCTATTTGCTACTCAAATAACAAAGTTAATGAAACTTTTAGCTAGGAGTATATTCATTCTGAACTCGTTCATTAATATATTTATTCAAAACATGCAAGAATTTGTGCTTTTAGAGCCTCTGAAGCTAGTGTTTACTTTTAATAATAATATGTGCCTGTCTGAAGTTCTTGTCTGAAGTTACCTCTCCTTCAGAGCCTCAGTTACCTTTCCAAACAAGAATATAACCAAGAAAAGGAAATATGGGGTGGTTAGGCTATAAAGACAAGAAATTAAGTGAAGGGGTTTTTTTTCTATTTATTTTTATATTCTTTGTGAGGTCTAGCTTTTTTCTTCTTTTTTTTTTTTTTTACTTTTATAATCCTCATTTTATCCTAATAACTCTTGCCCTCTAAGGTATCACTTTTGTTTTTCTGATCTTACCCACCCCATTCCTATTCATTTCTATTTATTGCTTTCAATATTTTTCTCCTTGCTTGCAATAAAAATAGAATTAGGGAAATTCTTAAACCTTTAACTTGCAGAAAATCCTGATTTCCTCAATACAAGCTGCAGATGTTTTCACTGTCTTCTTGGTACTTACTATTAAAGTTTACCTTTGAAACTAAGAGGCTTAGTTTCATATATGCAAAGTAATTCACTAAAGAACCCTTCTTTTCTGTATTTAATACTTTAGCGATCGTTAATAAGCATCTACTCTAGGGTGCTGTTTAACTTAGTATTCTGGTGTTAAACACAATATTAAAAATACTGGAATCTCTCATAAAAAATTTACATTTTTCTACCAACTCTTCATGTGTTCATTTGAAGACCAAAATCTGTTACCTTTATCAGTAGCTGAGTTACACTTAAGGGGCTACAAATACTTTCTCTTTGTGGCTGGAAGGAATGTAAAGGAAGATTTTCATGTCCCCCTCCTGTTTCTGCACCAGAAAATGATGAGACAATATACTGCCCCCTTAGAACAGCATAGCTTTTTTTTTTTTTTACTGTGCGTGTATCTTAGGCATTTTCCCAGTCATTCCTCTCCCGGCAAAATGTTTGTGGCGTGTTCAGAGAACTATCACACTTGCTTGCCACAAGAGTGGCTGTTACTGCCAAGCAATCGGACTTACTGTTATGTGTACTCTATGTATTCCTCAAGGTAAGAGGACATGTGAAATACTAATCATCAGCAATAACTTTCTTTGTTTTCAATCTCAGTTATTCTAAGGTTGCACAGTGTGTTTCAAACCTCTACATTCCCTAAGATATATCATCCTTACTTTAAAATACCAGGGTGGGCTTCTGAAGTTTTAAAGGAGCTCTTTACCCTTGCAATCTTGAGTTTTATCTGCTGTCAGTAAAGACTTTTTCTCTAGTTTTCTTTGTTGTTTTCTTACATTCTGAGTTTTCACTTGAAATAATGTCACTATTGACACCATAAAGGTCTACCTGGTTTTGTATGGAAGACCGTGGAAGGTTTTACTAACGAATGACCACTCTGTTTTAGGAAAGTCTTGCACTGTTGTAATCAACAGACTGCAATTGCAACATTCAACAGGAATTTTATGAAGTTGATACATGGCCCTTGGATGCTAAGTAATGTGTGTCCTCCACCTGACTACTTCTGATTCATGAGGCAGCAATTTAATCTGTTTTAGCCTTATCCCTCTTATTTGTTAGTGTTTAATCTAAAATATAGAACTATAGAAAAGTAAGTCCAGTAACATTGGTAAAACAACTTGAGATCTTCATCTCAAATGTACTACAGAATGCAGCGTATTATTGGAAGTTAAAAATGTTGCTCCATTTCTTGTGACTTTTTAAGAATAGCACATCATTTGCAGAAGTAAAAATCCAGTTAACTTTTTTCTTTTATTGTGAAGAGGATGTTCAATTTAAATTGTATTTTAAGTCTTCTGACTATTCCTTGGGAGTTGTGGGTGGAAATGAAGATAGAAATAATTGAGTTACTTTCTGTTGAAACTCTGTACTCCACAACCACAAGGCTATACCTACATCTAGCACTGGAAGAAAAAAGTTTCTTATATATAGTCTACTCTGCCCAACTTCCTATCTATAAAAGAAAATTCTTTGCAGCTTCTGAAGAGATGCCCCAGCTGCTTACCACACACAAAGAAAAGTATTGACTTCAAGAGGAAGTCAAATGTGGCTTCTACCACTCCCTTTCTTCATGAGGTAGACTGGCAAGGAGCATTTCTTAAAGTTTTTTTAGGGGAGAGCACTGCACAAATCCCAAAATAGAGCATCTGCTTTTCCCTTGGTCACATTTAACCCCAGCCAGCACTGGCTACTTCTTGGACAGCTTTTTCTCTCCCATAATTCACCAGTGAAAAGCAGTTTGTTGCCACCTTTTATCTGGCAACACCTCTCTAGCAGAACTTCTGCCACTCAATTTCCTGTGTGCTAGCTTACATTAGGAGAAGCCAACAAACAGAGAGCCTGGCCACAGCTACACAAGTGGCTACACTTAGACATAACTCTTCTCAATTAATGTTTCTCTAGTCTCAAAAACTCTGGATTCAACAGTCATGAAGCAAAATGGGATGGCTGCTATGTTCATTTGAATTTTAATGCCTAGAAAGGTCTATCATGCCACTGCTATTACAAAACAATGCTGAGGGCAGAGAATGTTGCAAAAACTGAAAGGACAAATTACAAGAAACTTACAGAAGCAATAGCCCAGGAGGGGGGAAATTTTGCTTGAAATAGTCTAGTCTTATCACAGGAATTTACTATGTAGACTAATCAAAAAAAGAGATTATTTGTTTTCTTTGTACAATTTGAATTTGATGGACAATCATTCATTCTTGCTCATGTTGTTTCCTGAGGACTATTACTACCATGAGAAAGGAAAGCAAATGTAGTTTGCTCTAAGGATCAAATGCTATATTCTTTTTTATCTAGTTTCTTCTCCTTTGAAAATATTCCTTTTCCTTTTCCAATACATGGATACCAGTTTGGCTAACCATACACATGAGTGCCAATAAAGAAATAGCTTTCTTATTTCTTTAGACACTTTTGGTCATTCTTATTTCTAAAGCCCAAGTTAGATGGCAATACTTATTTGAAATCATGGCAATCAATTTCATGAATTAAAAAACCACCTTTTTTCTGTTAAAAAAACTGCTTTGGGCTTATGGTGAATATTCTGAAGTATCACTTGCATAGAAAAGAAGGAGCTGAATTTAGATACCTGACAAAATGGTGTTCCTCTGATATTCTTCAGAGAATGGAGAATGATCTAGCACATGCTTCCATATGTAAAAGAGTGAATCCCATAAAAGATGGACTTTTCTGGTATCCAGCCTAATGCTCCCTGTGCCAACTGCTTTGTGGAGAATCATTACAGATTTTTACTATGGTTTTTTTCACTAAGACAATCAGAATTGTGTGTTGTCCTTGGGAATATCAGTTGTGCGCAACATAAAACTATTGGTTTATAATCATCAGAAAATCAGGATAAGACAGTGAACAGAGTTTTGGGTAATCAGAGCTGCCATCAGATCTTGTTACTTTGTAGAACTGAGGTATATATGGAGGAATTGCTGCCTTATAAAGGAGGAAATAAGGGGCATGGCAATAGGCAACTACGTTTTGCTTCTTCCATTTCCCTTTAGTTAACAGCTACTTGTTTACTTCAGGAAGTCTGCTTTTAAGATGTTATTAAAGTTTCTAGGCCTGTCAAACCTATCAACATAATTACAAGAGATGGCATGGCACTCAGTTGTTTAACTACTCCATACCTGTAGGAGCTATGAGTCATTAGCTCATCTCTGTGTCCCTGATTGAGAGGAATGTTAATGTTACAAGCCCAGGAGAGGCATGCTGAAAACCTGCAGTGGACACACACAGCCTGTGGTGTCAGTGACAGTCTTACAAATATTTGCAAAGAAATGCTGGTCATCTTGGCTATGTTCACACAGCAAGATCTGAGAGTGTTTTTAAGCTCCTTGGTCTGGCTACATGCCCCATTCATGTCCAAATCCTGTATCCATGGAAGATTTGAGTGTATTCTTCAATCTTTATCCCCAGGTTCCTTACTTCTTACAGGAAAGCTAGCCTGGAAAGGAGCTAAGATGTGCTTTAGCCAGGTCTGCAGGGTCAGTGCTCAGGGAACCAGGACTGTAGGCACAGTTATTGATATACCTGTGTAAGAAAAAAGACAGCTCTGGATTCTGGAATGGTATCACTATATAGTCAAAT